GCCTGATTTTAAGCTACCTATTTCAGAGAACTATGTTGCTTAGCAGAATTGACAGTGAAACTGCATAAGCAGCTTTATGCATTATAAGCATGTAATTTTAATTACAGAACCCAGCAGTGTTCAACCATGGATCTAACATATGCCAGAGAGAGAAAATAAGTGGCTATTTAATCTTCCTTTCCTGATACCTCATCTAGGCTCAACCAATAACTCATACCTCCAGGTCCTAAATCCAGCAATGAGCTCTGCCCTGAGAAACATCTCAGAATTTGACCTAAAAGTTAAATTTAATTTTAAGAACTTCTAGGTGTAATCTGTTAGTTTGGTTACTCTGTTGGTTTAATGCATTATGCAAACTACACATTTTGCATTGGAGAATATTTGTGAAATACAGACTATGTCTCAACTTTTTCTTAGCCACTCAGGAGAATTGCTGGAGAATTGTATCTACCAGTGGGACAGACACTGGCGAAATTCTGATTAAGCAGCATTACTATCTTTTTTCTCTTTTTTGGGCTACCCTCCGGTCCCATCTGGGTGGATCAGGAAGTCTGGTGAGTTCCAGCTTTTTCAAGATTTACACCAGAGGAGTGCAGCATTGTTGTTCAGGTAGGGACAAGGCAAAACAGACTGGAGCAGTGAATTGCAGTTAACAATATTTTACACCAACACCATGGAGCAGCCAAGGATCTAGAAAGAGCCTTAGGCTGCCATCATCTCCTGTTTTTCCTATCTTGCAGCATGCCATGTGAACGCTGACTAGCTGTGAATTCAGCAGCGACTGCTGTGGGAAAAAACCTCCTCCAAATCTACGCCTTTTTCTTTTCAGCCAGTGTTTCCTCTTTATGCTAAACAAAGGGACAGGTACTGACATGGGAGGTCTGTAGAGCTGTTAACACTGCTGAGTCCCATTTCTGGTCTCTGAAAGGCTTGCAGTTGCCCAGATGCTGTTCTGGTAGTTCAGAGACACGACCTGCAGTGCCAGTGTGCTCTTGTCACTGCAGCATCACCAGATGACCACTTCCAGTGTCCTGCTGCCTTGGCAGGGTGAACATTTTTGCTGATAGCTTATTAAATGTTTCTTTCTTCAATTTAAGCAGTTCACTTCTTCCCTTTGTGGACATGAATTGCTCACTGTTTTCTTCACAGTTTGCTACCTTTTACATAATTGAGCATAACTGCTGTCTCCCCTCATTCATATCCTTTGTAAACTGAATGCATCTGTTTTCTCCATTTTCCTGATGGGTCATCCTTCCCGAAATTTGTGCCATTCTGACTGCTTTCTTTTGGAACCTTTTCAATTTGATTGCCTCTTACTCTGTGGTCTTCTAAGTGTCTACATCAGCCTTAGCACTGTCTTACTGGCTGAAACAAACAGAAATAACTTCCCTTTTTCCTGACTTATGCTACTTACTTAGTAAGTGTCCCAGTCCACTCTTTCAGAGCCTCTTCTGTGGCATGGCTATTTGTTTAGAGCATTAATTTCTGTTTTCATATTTCTGCGTTTGATTTATTTTTCTTCCTAAGTTTGGGAGTTTATGTCTTTTTATTGAATCTAATTGTGCTAATTTCCCTCTGTTTCTAAAATACAAGATAATTTTGAGTGCTAGTCCAGCCTTTCAGAGTACTCACAACTCTTTCCAGTCTGATGTGATCCACAAATTTTATTACTGTTGTTATGTATATCATCATCAGTGTTGCAAAATAAAATATTGACTGGAATTACACTGAGAACAAGTTAACTTGCTTCTCACTTACAGTAATACACTGTTTGGAATCTCTTTACAATTTTCTTTTGAACCATTGATGACTGTGCCTTGAAGATGCTTTTTAACCAGTTTTAGAAACAGCTGTGAGGATTCCATTTCGCTGCTATCTCTTTACTTTGCTTATAGGAAAGTCATAAGGGACATTATCAAGAGCCTTACTGAAGCTGGTTAAGCAACCACAGAAAAGTATTAGCTTGGTCTTACATGACTGCCCTTTGATAAATCCATATTGGCTGTTCATCATTACCTAATTTTTCTTTTCTATACAAATAATTGCCAAACTTTTTGGACCGTGGCTTACTACAGTCTGTGGTTTCTAGTGCGCTATGCACTTCATCATCAGACTATTAATGAATGGGCATTATTAAGGTGAGGTTAATTTTAATGATACATATGATTTAATTCACATCTTGCTTCACCTGGACACCAGAGTTTGGGTCCTGATGCTCCAATTGCTTATAAGTTGATTGCCCAGTAATTTGCTTTATTATCTTTTCGAGTGTCAGAGATCGGCTGATTGGACCATGATTATTTGAGTCCTCCTTTCCAGATATATATTTACCTTTTTTCCTCAGATTATTCAGTGACTGCTTTACATTCATCCTTTATCACTTGCTGCCTTTCGTTATTGTTTTTGAGCACATAGCTAGACCCACCGTTGCTGCTAAGGGTGACTGTAAAGCTCTCCTCAGAATCAGAAAGGGCAGCTGTATAGGCGGTTAAGCTAACAGTATGGCCACAGCATGGATACGGACTGCAGCCTACATAAAATCTGGGACACCATGTGTGCTAGGTTAACGTGGACCACTGTTTTCCTGCAGGTACCCAGATGGTGTGTGAGGTAGCTGTTTGATTAGAAAGCAGGCATCTCGCAGACCACAGCCATTGTGGCATTATGATTGAAGAGCCATCTTGAAGGATCTCTGTTTGGTTCTCAGGTTTTCAAAACTTTCCATGTTGATCTAACACCCACTTTTTCTCCATGTTGGAGTAGCTGACTTGTGCTTTCAGTTTAGTGTCTTTTAGCAGCTCTGTCTTTCCGCTGCTTAATCCTAGTAGATCCTGCCAATCATTTCTGAGTTAGTTCAAGCCAACTTCGCTGTCTTCTGTTATTCTTACTGCATTTCTTCTCCCTTACTTCATTCAGTGATATGAAAAACATGAAATCAATCCATTGAACTACTCTTAAACTTTTTAAATTTCACTTTTATAGATTACAAGATTCTTCATCCATTAGACTGATTTATTTTGCAGGTTCTTTCTTTCAATATTGGGGAGCCTCTGGATTTTACTGATCTTGAGAAATGTATTTCCTTGCAGTTAGCTGGGCTTGCACAGTCTTTTACCAGACAGCAGTTTGGCCCTTCATCCACATGCATGCTTCCTCTTTTGTAGATGAAAATTCATACCATTTCCTGTTCAAAGAGTCTGATGACCCCATATCTGGTATACTTCAGAGATATGTTAAATCATTGTTTACAGCAGCAACTTCTGCAATACACTGTAACACAGTTTTTACGTCCAGTAAACCAACATCTGCTGCTATTGTTTACATCAGTAACAGATACTTCTGTACAGGGTAGAAACAGACTCAGTTTGAAGGAAAATAATAGCTTTGAATAATTTGAGTTTTACTTTGCTAGATGCATTCATGATCAGAGATTATTTGTAGTGGGAAGATGGAAAAAAATAACCTTGTATACAAGTATCTTTTGTTTTGAAAATAGGGCAAAAATAATCTAAGAAAGCAAATACTTCCTCACTCTCCCCCTGTGTGACTTCTTGCTTATATAATTGTCGAATCACCTTTAAAAAAATCCCATTTCATCCTGTCTGATTTTTGGAATACCAATGCTGAACAAGCATTTCTTTTCCAAATGGATCTCTTTCTCTGTAACTCTGGCTTTGCTCGCTCTGCAATTGCTGCTGCCTTCAGAGTAGAGCAATGTCCCACTCACACCTGGCATGGCCTCTTGACCTGGGAGCAACTACTTGTTTATGCATCTTTTATTTTAGAAATCGGGGCTAATAGCTTTAATACCTTCCGTGAGATACCTGTCCCTCAAGAGGAGCAGAACTGCATTCAGTGGAGCTTAAATTTTGTCACACTTGTTAAGAAAAGAAGTAGCAAGACATGCAGTATCACAGAATAGGTATAGTGGTCATAGAAATCAAGACACCACGGAGAAGGTGCACACCGAACAGGCCACCTCTGTCCTGTGGCACCTGGTAAATCTAAGACACCTATCTGTGATTGCTGGAGTTGGAAGAGCATCTCAGACAGAAGGGAAAGTCTTCTTACACCTCTATTTTGCTGTCTCCCAGTGGACTGCCCTGGTGGGCGATAAGTTTGGGTTTTTTACTTGGAAACAGTGTAAGTGCATCTTCTTCTTTTAAAAATCTTGTCCTCAGTGGTTATGGTGAAATATTGTAGATGTTTTGTTATTATTTTGTGGCTGGTTGGTCTTAAATCACATTAAACATTAGTTTATTTGTTTCCATGAAAAACAAGCAAGCTACTCTGATTACTGAATTTTCAGATTCTATACATGCAACAGTACTATAAGTCTGGGATTTCTGAAGAATTCAGTACTGGGCTCTTTCTGTTCCCATTGAAGTCAGTTAATTGGCATTTAAGAAGTCTTTTTCTCAAAGTTCAGCTGATACAGTATAGGCTGATATTTAAATTCATAGTTTGGTTTGCCTTGTGCTTCTCACAGCAGACTGTGTTATTGGTAGAAGTCTGGGCTTACATTGTTCAGTGAGTGTTTTTATCTTGTCTTCTATTTATCTTTAACCTGTCTTGTTTTTATCCCTTGGTCAATTACCAGTTCATTAAAATATTTGCATCCATGATGTACATCTTTCTTTCTCTGCTCTGTTATGCTATATCTTTGTTTTGCAGAAATGAATCTGCAAGTATTGCTGTGCAGGTTGCAGTCACACTCCCACTTAAGGGCAAGGTTATTCTTTCTTGCATTGCAAGGACTACAGTATGATGAATGCAGACAGAAATCTGTTGGAAGAGCATCAAAATCTTAATTATGTAGGACTGTAAATGTGGGGTTTTTTTGAGGTTTGCATCAACTACAAAACAAGGAATCTAGAACATCATCAAAATATGTTTCTGAACACTGGGACAGGAGACTAAGCTGGCTAAACTCTAGCATCTGGAATTTGAATGTGGATAACTGTAGTTATAAGGGCTTTTCTCTGCTTAATTAAAGGCACTCCTCCGCAGAAATAAGAAAGCAGTTTACTCTCCAGCCAGGCTTTGCGCAGTTCTGTCAACGAAGCTTAAGTACCCCTGGCTTTTCTACTCTTCATCTGGTAAGTTATGGGTTTATCTTCTTTGCACAGGTTTGGCATCTCCATTGCTTAATGTTTTTAGGGTAAATGAAGTTATCTTCTTAAACTGCCTTGCTTTTCACTGGCTTCTGCTTGAAGCTGTTAAAAAAGACTCCCTGATGAGCTGAGAAAATTATGCGTTTGAAAGAATGGAGAACAGTCCTTAGAGCCTGAAATAAACAGTCTTACTGCATTCTACTATAAATTAATTATTAAGCGTTGGTAGTATATTGCATCTTGCCTTGCTGGAAGCAGTCAACTCCACCAAGTAAATGCGTTGTGTGGTGGTCACAGACAATTTGGAAAAAGAGGTAAGTGAGTAAAGAGAAAAAACGAAAGGTGGAGGCTCAGGTAGCGTGGCTTGATCGGCATTTTGCAGAGCTAGCAGCAGAGGCAGCCCACTGACCTGTTTTTCAGTGCTGTAGAGTAAGCATGGTAAGCGCGATATGCCGAAGGATGCCCTGACTGGTACAGATCTAATTGAGTCAACTGTTACGTGACTCCGAATCATCTTCATCCTTCCATGTGCAGTCCCCCCTGAAGAAGTCAGACCATATGACACTGCCCTTACGACAAAGGGAAAAATTGCGAGATCTTTTGAATTGCCTTTCAGGGACACGGATATTCTGCAAACGTGCTATGTCATGAATAAAACTGACTTAAGATTTTGATACTCTGCTTCTTCCTACGCTTTTAATTCTTTGTTTTTTATGAGACCCGATAAGTAGATGCAGGAAAAGTCTTTGTGCACCAGCGGTTGTGAAAAATGTAAAGCACTAGATGTAAGCGTTTATTTCCTGTGTGTCAGGGCCTCCCGCCACTACTCACTTCCTTAATCTGAAACGCTGTGGTGTTCTAACTTGTTCCTTGCGGTTATTCAGCCTGAGAAGTCTAGGTCCTCTTCTTCTACATGCAGACAACTGCTTTTGCTCTTGAGAAACTTGATAACATTTCATTTCCTGGGTATTAACGCCGTAGCTGCCATTTTGTGTGCTGTCGCAATCTACATGCCTCTAATCCATCATCCTTGAAAAGGTATGTTTGCAGTGATGATTTGTGGCATTTTCTGTAGAATAATTGTTTTGCACACTTGTATGATGTGTGAAAAGGAGTGTTGTCTTCTCCGTTGAAACTAACTCTATTTCCTGTGATAATATGCACCAATTGTTAGGGAGACCATTACCCTCCATCTGCATTTACCTTTTTCACCATCTTTTTTACATTTGTATCTAATTTGTGATAGTCCAAAGCACACATTTCTAGTGATTAAAGCTTACTATTAATACTGCAACTAGAAGAAGTTAGAAGATATAATGAAATGCAATGAATTTGACTTGCCAGAATGGAAAAGTGTGATTTCTGAAAGGAAGCGCGATGCTTAATCAAAAATTAGATTGTATTAAGCAAAAATGTTTTGCATGCAGAACATTACATCTTCAGCAACTGAAAAGATGTAATATGCTTTTGTATACTTCAAGCTGTATTTTACTTTAAACTTTTGTGGATTTTTTTTTAATAGATCTTCATATATATGTACTAACACGTAATGCTTTACCCACTGGCAGTATGATAAGTGAACTTCAAGGATATTATGGTGACAATTAATTAGAAATAAATAGCTAATAAAGATCACCATTTACTCATAACTGTTGATCCAGTATGCTCAGCACTACACTAGGTACAAACCAAAGATAGTGCTTAACCTAAAAATTAGTTAACAGCACAGAGTATTTCTTCAGCTGGCTGCCTCATGGTTTGCTGGACTTAGTGTCAGGTTTAGGTTTTCCCTTTGGATCCAAAGAGCAAAGAAAGAGAGAGATTTTCTTCAGAGAATTCAATCGATCCCTTAAATTGTGCAGGCGGAGTGGTGAGCTCAGAGACTTTATTACGCAGAGACCAATATAGTTGCCGTATAAAAGGGGAACCTGGGGCGAGGAGTGGTGGTTGGGTATATTCAAAGGTCCCTGCTACATCATTTGCAGGAGTATTTACCACATCCATTTAAAAAAAAAAAAATATTGGGTTGTTTTAGTTCTCCTAGGTGTTGTTAGCATATTTCTTCTAAATATGCTTCACTTTCTGCAAGATGTTTCTTGATTTTTATTAGCTGAATAGGTTCCTCATTTGTATTTCCAGAACACTAAAAAGGCTCCAAAACTCGTATGTACCACTGAACAGTTTTAACTCATCTTCCTGTCTTCAGTGACTGATGCGGCATACCGTTGCCACTATGAGTGAGCCATTTTAGTTCACAGTTACCCAGAGCTTTGCCACTGTTGAGCACCTTTGCATGTTTTAGAAATTGTGGAATTCCTCATTGTCCTCTTGAGCTAAAATTCCTGATGTTGTGGATGTAACACTGTTATGTGCAGAGGTCATTTCGTGCTCAGGTGAAAATGCTGTCAACTTCCACGAGAGCCTTGCACGAGCAGAACTCAGTAATAACAAGTCAAGACTTCATGATTTTGGCCTGTGGATTTTATTTGTGAAGGGGAGCACTGGAGTATAAGGGGCATAGCTCCACATTGGATGAGACAGTAGATGCAGTAGCACTTAATATAAAGGCAGTGTTGCTATCAGGGACATCGGGTGCCTGATTTTCCCCACAGTCCATCAACAGCACCATAAAGGTGTTCAGACTGTTACTATTTTCAGACTATTGCTGGCAGCTTCAGAAGGCAGCCTTGTGAAAAGTATTTGGGCTAATCAGTGCAACGAAATCCTTGTTCTTCACAGTTGAGGATGATTTGATAGCTGTTTTTTGCTAGAATTCTTTCACCTAGCAAAGAAGTTATTTGAGTGCTATTATTCTAATGGTCTTACTATTTTTCTGTGCTCTTACTGTGCTGAGGTTTCCACAGCCTTTCTGGAACTAACAATATAAGCCATAGGTTTTCTAAAGCTGTAGCTTTTAGACCTATTTGTTACTTTTGCAGACAATCAACAATATGTGATACTGGTCTTTGTACTCAGCTGTACAGATGTTCATCTTCTACACATACACCGGCTATTTTTGTTGGCTATATAGCAAGTAAAATACCCTTAACATACAAAGTCACATTTATGTGTATGTGGAACATTTCTAGGTAGCATATCAAACAAGATTTTCTGCCTCTATTTTAGAGACTAAGCAGATAAAAAGAGCTAGACAGCTTGAAACAGACGGTCTATATAAGAATGGCTAATTAAATGTAATCAAATACAACTGCTCTCTGTCAAGGTGCAATGCCATGTGCTGTAGAAATAGTGGATATCTAAGGTTTGCAATGATAACTTCAGTAGTTATGTGTAGTCTTTTGTGTGGTTGCTGTACTGACTCTTGAAAAATCCAATAAAATTAGAAGTAAAATGCAAACGAGTAATTTTCAGAGATGGAAAATAATAATTTCTTCTGATTTTGGGTATATCTTGCCCTCAGCTTTGTTTGGAGAAAAGCACACAGCATTTCTAATAGTCTCTTTCAGGCACAGCACCTAAAATGAAGGGCATCTTCATGATGGCAGCTATGGTGCTTGTAGTTGGCACTAATCTCAGTATGACTTCCAGGATTTACTGCCTTGACCTTGTTATTGCTGGTGCTTTTTGTCACATTTGCTGTAGAGTCGATTGGCAGCTCCCTGCCAGCTGGCCACTGCCCTGTCACTGTCATTTTGGTCATTCTGTCGTTGCTGCTGGCTGCTGCCTCTTTGATAACTGATGAGCACCATCGACTGGGCAGGAGGGGCTGAGTGCACTTCATGGGAATCCAACAAAGTACGTCTGAGGGCACCCAGGACGTACTTCAATCAGCCCTACTTCTACCAGCATGTATGACAAATGTTCCTCAACAGAGGAAATGGGTGTAAATTTGGATTTAGTTGTAGTATCTTCCATTTCTTCTCCTGTGTTTTAAAACTTTTCTCACTTTGTCCCCTTTCTTTTTTCAGTTAAATGTTTCATTTAGCAGCTTCTCCTTACGTTAAATGCAGTGGCATTGTACACAACGTTAAAAGGGTGTTTCCTACGTTTTAAAAAAATGGGACAATGACAAGAAGTAAATAAATAAGCCTAAAATATACTAGTAAAAAAGCCTCTTCTAATGCTAAAATAAACAACTCTTTATTTTTTCATTAGCCTTCATTTTATGATGCAGTCGACCCAGTAGATTTTGAAGGCTTCCTAATGACGCGGCTAAACAACTTGGACTCAGAACTAGCACAAGAACTTGGTGATTTTCCTGAAGATGACTTGGACATTGTCTTTACACCCAAAGAATGCAGGACTTTGCAACCCTCTATGCCAGAAGATGGGTAAGGAGACTTCCTCTCTCTCTGAAGTGCTTCAGGTTTAAAAATAGTTTTGAAGATGTCAATCCAGACACTGCATTCTGCCAGCCATCCAGCCATCCATTACGCACTTGCTGAACTTTAAACATTCTGAACTTTGCAGTTGATTCTGTTAGGCCTGTTTGCACGCTGAAATTAAGCAAGCATTTACATGACTTCCTGAGCTAGCTGGTAGCAGCAGAAGTGAGGTAGGTGTAGGGTAGGAAGAAGAAGAAGGCAGGGAAGGAGGGCAGTATGAAAAGTAATTTTGTAGCTCTGATCCTAGAGGTGGAAGTTGATTCTGATTTGTAGTAAGCACAGGACTGATTTTTTTTCCTCTTGTTTTTTTTTTTTTGCTAGCTATGTGTTGCATGGCATTGATCAGCTCACTAAGCATCTCTTTCTCGGTAACTTTCTTGCTTAGATGGGGGGGAATAGTTCACACTTTGTCCTGTTTTGGGGGAGAAAAATGTAGTGTAGAAGTCACTTTTGGTTTCAGACTGACATTAATGAAATAATTCAGAAGATTTCCACTATTTTCAACAGCTTTTAAATTAGAATAGGTAGCATGTGTTGATACTGGTGCTTGGCCATCCTGAAAATATTTAAGCTGGTTGGATGAACAGGTGAACTATGGGCAACAGAATTTTTCAGAATGAGAAAAATGGGTGCATTGGGGAGATTTCTGGTGCAGTTTAGGAGAGTCCTATGCATTGTGTACAAAATACCCTTCAAGGATTGTTTCACTGTTAAGAGGTAACTTCAAGTAGAACCGCGAAGGCCTGTTGAGTTTTGCAAGCAGTAACAGCCAGATAAATGTGAAGTCAGCACCAGTTTAGCCCCAAACTGCTGTGTCTGCAAAGACAGCTAACTGTGCAACGCGTTTGGGGTGAGGGGCTGGCGTTCAGGAAGTGACCGGCACAGTCTACATTTTCTGCTGTGCTGAACCTGAACGCTGAAGGGACAAACAGCCTTAGCTTATGGTGTGCTGACTCACAGGGTAGACCAGCATCCCTTTCTGTTTGTTACAGCCTTCTCTAATTTATACCATCCAGCTGTATAAAGTGGAGCCCTATACAATAACTGTATTTGTTCGGTGTTTGCTGCCCAACATACCTAAGGCAGTGAGGCTAAGCAGGAACCACAGTTTATGTGATTTTTGCCAGCTGTGGGCTAGCTGAGAGTCCCTCTCTGTAAGTGAGTTTTCAGCCTGCAAGCTCTTTCTGGGCCCAAGGCATCTCTCAGGAAATTAAGGAGAGTGAAGCAGGTAAAAGAGGTGCCAGGCTTGGTCACCTGAGAACTCTTTGAATTGTACAGATCCCAGGGGATTTTGTAGTATTTGCAGAAAAGGTGATTTTCACTTGACGTCACTCACAGAAAATGTTCCAATCTTTATCACAAATTCTTGTTTTCCTGTGGATTGGGGAAAGAGGATGGATGTTGGAGGCAGTGAATATTTTAGTGCTTGAAGTTCCTGTTTAGTTCAATTAAGCACAAGAATAGTAAAAAATTATCCAGCTTTGAAATGAGATGTTAAAGAGAAGGTGACCATTTCTCCCCAATACACACATATTCCCAAGTTTACTTACCACCATGCCTGCTATATCAGATGGCAGTTACCTATTTGTTTTTCGAGCAGGAGAACGTGTAGACTCATGCTGTACAATCAGTTTCGGGCCTAATGTGCACAACAGTAACATTAAGGGTTTTGTCACAAGTCTGTGGCAAAGCTCAAGTGGTCAAGAACCACAAGTGTGCTTTCAGCAGATTTTTTTACCCAGTGGCTTCCTGTTAGCCATTCACACTGCTGCTTCTGCAGAAAATCCTGGTCAAGGATGCGGGGATGTGTTAGGGAAGGTGAGAGCATGGGAGAGATGCACACCGAAGATTTGCCTGCAGGCGATGCAGTCTGCGGTGTCTTCCTGTGCGAGAGCAGGAGGCAGATACTGGCAACCAAACTGGGCTAACACGCTTACAAACATACGCCCCGTCTGAACCAGAAGCAGGACGTGACCGTGTGCTGCCCCAGTCCGCCCGCGGTAGGGGCACACAGCAGCGTGATGTCGGCCAAGCCTCCGTCTTGCCTTGCGTGTCTGAACCCAGATCAGTTGCTACCTGGTCTTGGTAACTGGTTGCAAATCTGTTAAGAGTTCTGGGTGGAAAGTGCTGAAAAAGTATCATGCCTTTCACCCATGCTTGCGTTGCATGTGTATCCTGGTCTTTCACTCAGTTGGATTGGAGGGAGTAGCAAGTGATTTTGGTATAGGTCACTAAAATTTTTTAGAACAGGGGTAGGGGAATTATGCTAGAACATCATGATAGCAAATTCATGGGCATCAACTTTAGCTTAGAATATTTCAGTTCTATTCAGTATCCAGCCTATCAGGCAGCACTGGCAACTCCCTACATTAAAGGATGCTTATTTAAAAATCATAAAATTAAATAGTAACATATTCTTTGGGTCTCTGTTTAGAGTTTTCTCCATTTCTGTGAGAAAGAGAATATTATGCCAAAAACATACAAGAGACAATGTATTTGGAGCCCAGGAGCTGAGGCCTCTCTAAAAATATGCCTGTGTGTTGAAATTTGTTACAAGGTTTTGAAAATCACAAATATGTGTACCTGGTATAATTTCTTTTATTTTGCAGTATTTTATAGCAATATCAGTCTTATAGTCATGAAATGTATAGTGTGGCAGATGGTTAACTCTATTATATCTATTTTTGTTAATTTATAAACACAGCCACAAAAACCTGCATGAGGGAATTCATACAGCACGTGTAGTTCTTTAAACCTCAAGAAAGAGTTTATCAGTAAAATAAACACGCAGGAGAGGACTAACAGAGAGACCTTTATCTGAACAGCACATTTATGTACGTTTCTTTGTCCTTAAGGTATGACCTAGGTACTGGAATATTTACAATGTGTTGCTTTTTCCCCAGGGTTGAACTGGATTCACATGTCAGAGACTGTGTTCAGACGTATATCCGGGAGTGGCTGATTGTGAATCGAAAGTAAGCTACGTACAAGTAAATTAAATAGATAATAACTTGCATCTTTTTTGACAGAGAGGAGATGTATGCGGTTATAAGTAGTCCTAAAGAATAATGATTTGAATCAGTGGCTGAAGACAAGAACTGACTTTTCGGGAGTTTATTTAACAAAGTTCTTTTGTTTGAGACAGTGGGCTATAGCTACAGTTAGCTAAATAACTAAATAAATACAGTTGCATCTGCTTCTTGTTTATTCAGGCACTCTGGGAATTAATCAGGAAGAATTTACGTGAACTGTCTGTAATGATGATTTGTCTAAATCAGGAATACTACATTTATTGTCCTTCATATTCGTATCGGCAATTAATAGGTGAGGACAGTATACTTGGCTTGGTATGACATTAATTTCAGAGATATGAAGCTTAGTTCTTGAAAGCCGATGGTGATTAAATTTTCTGTGCCATACATTTGTGAGCAAATTACAAATTTACTAATTATTTTCCAGTTTTATTCCTTAGCCATGTAGGTCTGTGTTGGTCTCTGAGGTTGAATCCCTGCTTTCTAGTTATGTAATCCCTTTCTAATCTGATGGATCTCTGTTTCAAACTTGTAGGTTTTTCATAAATAGTAACAGCCATTATTTGTTGTTTTAGTACTTTACTCATCTGATAGTTGCAGTAATTTTAGAGGTCCCAGACTAAATGTATTCTTAGCCAAGTATGCCATTTCTTCATAGGCCAAAACTGTTTTCTCTCTCCTTAATCTTCACCCTCTGTGCATATTCAGTGACAGGAGTCATATCCTACCTCAGGTTTTAAGTTGCTGGGCTAAACAAGCCATGCTCTTTCAGTCTCTACCCATACTGTAGCAGCTGTACTCAATATTAGTGCTGTGAGTAGCTTATCCTGTCTCAATCCTTTATCCCCTACTTCTTTTCTTCTCTTATCTCATGCTGAAAGAATAATTTTGCGGTTTTTAAGTACTTTGTAAGGTCTAACTCAGTTTGAGTTTTGACAGTTTTCACTTTGTCCCTGGATACCAGGCTTTAAATAGAGACTTATTGGCTGTCCAGTCTTTTTAAGCCTTTCAGGCTCTTTGCTTGGTATGTATCTAGTTTCTGTGATTATGTTTTGCTAACACTGTAGATTTCCCAAAGAACCACAGCTTCTAAAACTTTCTGAATTTCTAGTCAGACAGTAGGACATTTAGATAATCACCACAGGCAGAAACAAGAATTTCTACTTGCAACTACATTTCTACCAGAATATACCTCTGCACTGGAAATTTTTTTTTTTATGAAAGGTCAAGACTCTACACACTGTAAAATTGACACAGTTGTACTGGGAAAGTGCACTTCTACTGTTTTTATTACATTTGTTGCCTACAAAACCATTTTGCAACTATTTTGATTTGTGCTGAATTGCTATTTGATCACGCTAAAAGGAAGGACTAGAGGGATAAAGATTACGTTTGTATGCTCTTCATTTTGCCTTCCATGCCCTAAAAAATCAACATGGTCTGATTTCTAATGGTGTCTGAAAACAAAAGGCAGTGACAGGAGCGAAAAAGCAAGGATTATGCGCTTTCCCAGCAGTGATTGATTGTATTCTTGGGACTATTAGAGTAGCATCCAACTGAACATCCAACTAAATCATTCTGTGATTCTAAACTATTTTACATCAGTAAGGGATTTCTGCATTTGGGGTCAGTGTAATTCAACACACAGAACCAAACCTGTAGCCATTACAAGTGACTTAATTTCCTTTTTTTAAAAAAATTTTACTATATTTTTTCATTTCATTTCATTTCATTTCATTTCATTTCATTTCATTTCATGCATTAAAAGTGAAGGGAATTCTCAGGCAGGACTTTCTGTGCGTGTCTGTCCCTGGATTCTCAGGGATGCACTGTGCCAGTGGAGCTTGCCTCCTTCCCCATCACCCCCTCTTTTCTGCAGAAGGAGGTTTTTGAAGCTCTGTTCTTCTGCACCACTTCCTGTTCATCCCCTCTTGCACTCATGCCTTGTTCTTGAGAAGCAGTAGTAGCAGCTGATGGTGGAGTGCTGGCGTATTTGCTGCCATTTCGTTGTGCCCCTTCGTCCGCCCTCGCTACTCTCTTTTGTTTTGACCTGATGTACATCAGCAGTCAGTGTGTTATGGGTTGACTCCTGGTGATCATAAAGGAATTGCATTGTTTAGTCGTGCAGCTTGTGCAGGGATGGAGCAGCCGCTGAGGGTTGTTAAGAGACTTCCTCCGGGGGTGCTGATGAAATTTGTTCAGTTCTCAGAACGGTTCCGCAGTGAGTCACTAAAAATAGCTTAGTGGGTTTTGCAGACTCTCCACCTGCACCGCGCAGAGCATGGTGCTAGCTCTTTCACGCAGCTCTGTCCTGAGTGCGCTGTAAAGAGCCAGCGTACAGCTTTCTCTGTGCACATGGGTAGTGAGCAGTAAAGACACGGACGTGAAAAATAGAACATAGCTATTTTTGCACTTACGTGTGCTTGTAGAAATGTGAGTGGAGCTGTAGAAACACACATGCATGAAAAGACTTGTCTGCTGTTTTACTTTCTATCTCATTGAGGTAAACATGAGGAAGGGCCCTGTCGGACAGCTGGCCTTTGATGGCTGTGGCTAACAAAGCAAGCGAGTAATTAAAAATTATGAAGAAAAAGACACAAATGTAAAAGATGCTGCAATGTTACGTAAGCCAGTGATATATATTTGACTGGGAGTCTCATGTTGTGCTTGAATGCTATTCTCAAAACAGACAGGAGAGGAAGAGAAGGCATCTAGACAGGAGTGAGACAAAGTAGTCATAGAAAGCTTTCCATTGTTTTGAGAAAGGCTGAAGAATCTGTAGTTACTGCTTGGGATACAAAGATTCATAGGACAGGCTGATCGACGTGTGGTCTGGTGCGCTATAGACAAGAGGAATGATTTCCATCCACTTGTGGATGTGAAGTTCAGAGCAGCAGAGTGAAGGGAGTTCGGTGAGTGGCACAAGCAGAGGTGGTTCTCGTGCCCCCAGGGTGGAGAGGTGTGTAAGAGAGGGGCTGGACGCAGCTGAGGTGGCCATGTGTTTTTGCCAGAGGTGGAACAGGAGGCTGATTCCTGTGCCAGTCAGTTTCTCCTTTCAGTTGTCCTTTGCTTCTTTTCCGCATCCCAGTATCCGAATGCAGTGCGTGGCCATTTAATTGACATGTGTGCTAAAACCAGGGTTTGTCTCTTGGTAGGTTTTAATGGCTACCATGCTCTTAAAAATAAATAAATGATATAAATAAGTCTTCCAAGAATACTTTAGGGAAAGGCATCTCTAGTGCAGCTTGTACCTCACAGGGAAAGTGTGAACTCAGGTAAATAAATCTCTCCATTGACCGTTTGTCTGCCACTGGAGGTAGTGATAAAATAATCAACAAAACCTCTTTCGGATGCTGAAATGTCTTAAAATAAACTCATGCAGAATTTCTGTCTTTCATTCCGGATGATGAAAGGAGTTCCAAAACAAGGTCACATCCAAGGAGAACAGGGGTTGTCTCTTTTATGACTTCAGTTTTCATTTGCAGTGAACTGGTAAACGATCAAAATGCAAACAATTAAAATTAAAACACATTGGAGCATATAATTCAGTTACTCCCAAAATGTAATAAAAAGATGTCTCCCTGATCAATAATTGCTTGTTGTGGCATCTTTATGGAAGTACTCAGATGTTTAGATGTTGCTTTAGGAATGTCATGGAAAGGAAAATGAATGAAGCAGGATACTGTAACTAAGGAGGCTGATCATGAAAAGGCCATCGCAGGATTTAGTGATTTGCATACTTAAGTGGAAGAGATAGAACTCTGGGTACATCTGGTATCTTTTTTTAAGGGTACCTGCTGGTTTTTTCCCTCTGTTCACAAAAATGTAACTTGAAATTGGTACCTTGCTGCAGGGTTTTGAGAAGTTGTCAGCAGAAGGGGGTTAAATTGTGCCCTAGCAATAGCCCTCTTTAAAAACATATTTGAAAGGTGTAGGTTGTTGTATGTGAGGTACTTGGGAATACCAGCAAGGTCCAGGACATGCCTTGGGCCAAATGGCATTTCAGACAAGAGCAGTAAGCTCCTTAATGTATAACTGCAGGAGCAAAGAGCCAACCAAGAGGTAAGCAATCCCGATCCGTGTTCATAAGGATGTTGAAATAATCACCGTGTCTGATGAGGAGCTCAGAGATTAGTTTGTACCTATGTCAGGTTTTTCTGCTCTCTCAGGCTGACAGTCCATGCAAAAGCAACGCAAATTAATTTTCTTCATTTTAAAAACGTTCTTAATATACATGATAGAGTTGCAGTGATAAAACAATAAACTTTGTGAAATGCCACGTTTTTGCACAGAAACTGTGCTGTGCTGCACTTTTGCTCAATAATGTTTCTAGTTGCTTATTTATTTATTTTTTTTGTCTTTTCTGTTTATTTTCCCTTAACTCCTCCTTGCACCGTCTGGACTTGCTTGGGTTTCTCTGCAAAAGAAACCAAGGGAATTCAGATACTTGTAGCCTGAAAAACAAGGGATCCCGAAAAGATTTTCACAAGACACTTCAGAAGCAAACGTTTGAATCGGAAACTTTGGACTGCAGCGATGCAAACTTTCAGGTATTTTCTCTCCAGTTTGGGAAGAGTGATCGGATGCAGCAGCTTTCCTCCAGGGAAGCACCCTAGGATGTCTGTAATGGCGTCAAGCAGAGAGGCCGCACTTGCCATGAGGCCTCATGGCAGAGGTGGCGTTGAGGCCCTCTCTGCCAGACAAGCAAGAGACGCCCCGGTGCAGCTCGCCATTTTGTTGCTTTTTCCTGACAGGCGGGTCCCCGACATGTCCACACGCTCCCTGAGGAGGCCTCGAGGACGACCCTCGCCTCCTCCGACTTCGACCTGCGCAGCCTGCAGCCGGACCCGCAGCTGGAAAACCTGCTGCGGCACGTCAGCGCCGAGGAGTTCGAGCGGCAGAACGAGGAGGCTCGGCGCACCAACAGGCACGCAGAGCTCCTCGCCCTCTACCCCTCCGTCGACGAGGTGAGCCCAGGGGCCCGACGGCCCACAAGCCGTCCCAAGCTGGCTGTCCTGAGATGTTTAAGGTTAAAGCTGCACCGCAGTCAAAAAACAGGGTTTGTGGCCTGGATACGTGTCTGTCTTGGGTAATAGCATGGCGAAGGCACGTCACCGTGGGCTCCCGTTAGCTGTCGTGAACGTGCTCTGACTCGTGGTGTTGCCTGAGGCTTCATTACATCCCCCTCAATGCGGGGTGGGGTTGTGTCAGACTGTGACACTTCACACTAAGGCTTGCTTGGGGGCCAGGAGTGTAAATATTTGGTGTAAATGCCAGATGGGGGCCAGAAGTGTCAATATTCAGAAATATAAATCAATTTTCTTTCATCTCTGAAGAGATGAAATACCTGCTGAGTTGGGGAAGATGCTAGTCTGTAGCAACATCTCGGTTAACGTCATGTAAAGGTTTTACGCAAGTATGTAAATTAACAGTTGTTTTAGTTGAGTATGACTACAATAACTGTTCAACGACAGGAGGATGCAGTGGAGATACGGCCAGTGCCGGATCGCCCAAAGGAACATCTGGGCAACAGGATTTTGGTGAAGCTGCAGACTCTGAAGTAAGTATCCTGAACAAGCCTCGCTCGCCATTTCCCAGTTCATACCAGCATACTGCTGCCGACCCTTCTACGCCGCTGCAGGTGTCCTCTTCAGCACCTGTTTGCATGCTTGCTTGTTCTTTCTTAGTGTAATAGAGGACTATTTCTATCCATCATTACAGAAGACTTTAACTTGTCAGGGCCAAAAGGAGTTGGGAATGAGCCCTAATTTTACATTTCCAACAAACTAGGTTGGTCTCCGTACATGCTACTGGACTTGATAAACAGAAAAAAAAATTCGAGAAAGGTAGGATCAGTTTTAACTGATACCTGAGACCGCCTTCCTGACAAATTCAGAAAATACATTGCGTGCAGTTTACTTCCCTCCTTTTCTTCTTGAAATCATATAATAAAATGCACTAATAATGAAATCCTCCAGGCTTTGTGAGAGCTGAGGTCTGGAACTAAATATTTCTCTTTATTTTCTAATGGAAGTGCCAGTCGAAGTACAGCCCTTTCATTTTTTTATTATACGGAGCCATAAGAGTGCAGTATTAATCAGTGTCCTGTGTGTCTTTCCTTAACAGGTTTGATATAGAGATTGAACCGTTGTTTGCATGCATAGCTCTCTATGATATAAAAGAAAGAAAAAAGGTAAGTGTACATACAGTATTTTTGTTCAGTTGGCTTGGGTTTTTATCTCTGGAGTAATAATTTAGGAAAATTTAGAAAAAACATGCAACTTCTTCACATGTGCAGTGTGATCCACGATAGTTTTTATTCAATCACATGCTTGCAACTGTTTATTTTGTAGTTCTAGTTACTCCTTTTAACTTAATTTAAAGTAAAATTTTATGCATTTTTATTTGCAATACATTTGAATTCTTTTTCTTTCCAAGATCTCAGAAAATTTTCATTGTGACCTCAACCCTGATTCATTAAGAGGGTTCTTGCGTTCTCATACACCCTCCGTTGACTTGTCTACTCAGGCAAGATCAGCAGTATTTTCTGTCACTTACCCCTCATCGGATATATACCTAGTTATAAAGGTACGTTACAGTGCTACTTCAACACCGTAGTTCCTGTTCCCAGCTGTGCCTCTTGGCTGAGTTCATGGAGCTGACAAACCTGAGTTTCCTGTAGCTGAGAGTAGTTCTTAGAGCTTTTAATAGTGCATGTGCAGGTGTCCACTGGTATATCTCACTCCCAAGCTAAAAAGTTGTATTGTGTTCTATTTCTGCTATTCAGAATTTCCTATCTCTGCCTAAGGGAAATGTAAAGTAAAGTGAAATAAGCCATTTTGAAAAATTTTATTTACATTCTGTGATAGTTTCTTGGCTTTGTTTTAGTGCACTTTGTATCATTTTGTTTATTTAGTTCTGAAGCTGAGTTAGCCTGAACCACATCATTTGGAATGTGTTAACTTTCCTGATTTCAGTGAAAATGCAGTAGTACCTGACTGACAATGTTGTCACGTATGTATTTTCTGCTTTCTAACAAACCAGATGGAAAGCTAGGTGAAGGTTTAATATTGGTTACACCATAAAGACAGTTTTAAGGATTCTATATTGCACATTTAGGCAGACTCTTTTGTATTGCTAGTGAAGCAACATGTTACTATTTGGGTGATACTTTTCCTTTGTGAGTGTCTTATTTTACTACTTCTGTAGATAGAAAAAGTGCTTCAGCAAGGAGAAATCGGAGACTGTGCAGAACCCTACATGATTCTTAAAGAAAGTGAGGCTGGCAAGGTAAGTGAACAACTATGAAAAGGGTTAAGATCCAAAAATGCATGCACAAGGAAAAAGCAGAGAAAGAGCAGGCCTTTTGGAACAGTGCAGAATCCCAAGAGCATTGTGGAGGAAGCCAGCTGGTGCATTCTTGATGCAGGCAGTCACAGAATCACAGAATCACAGAATGGTAGGGGTTGGAAGGGACATCTGTGGGTCATCTAGTCCAACCCTCCTGCCGAAGCAGGGTCACCTACAGCAGGCTGCACAGGACCTTGTCCAGGCGGGTGGTTTGAAGGTCCCGGTTGTGGGTCCTCTAGCCCACCCCTCCTGCCGAAGCAGGGTCACCTACAGCAGGCTGCACAGGACCTTGTCCAGGCGGGTCTTGAATATCTCCAGAGAAGGAGACTCCACAGCCTCCCTGGGCAGCCGGTTCCAGTGCTAAGTGACAGTCTGGTGTCTGTGACCAACAGGAAGAAATCATGAGAAGGCAGGGTGCACTTTCATTACTGAACCCTTTGGAAATCAAAATTGACAAAGTTTTGAGTCATGAAGCGGATAGGCATGAGCAAAGGAGATGACAATGCAATGTGGAGTTAGCAGAAAGATTTGTACCTCAGAGACATGTTATTGATTTGGATGGACAACCTATTGTATTGTGTACGTGGCCAGTTCAGTGCTGTCATCCATAGATAACATGAGCTCTATTCAAGGAATTCATGGTTGTTTACCTCCCTGGAGTAGATTGACAATGTTTGCTGGACTTCCACATGTCTCTCACCTGTAGAACATTGCTTTCAGCAGAATATTGTTTCTGTATCTGATGAATGAAGTACAACATGCTAACATTTCATAGTGATTGTTCATGCTGGGCTAGAGGGTAACTGCAAAAAGATCTACAGTCTCCTTTTCTATAATGAAAACGAACTCGTTGAAAGTAAATGAGAAGTGAATGTACAAATCAAAATAGCTATGATCCTGACAGTGATATGGCAAGAAAACATGAGGTACAAGAATGCAAATTATTTACTGAACTCTAAGTATGTAATTTCCATTTTTTATCTGTAGTAGTATTAAAATAACTCAATTCTTTTTAAACAGTCATTGTTTTCTTTGTCTTAGACAAAAGAAAAGATTGAAAAACTGAAAGCCCAAGCTGAATCCTTTTGTCAGCGGTTGGGGAAATACAGAATGCCATTTGCCTGGATTCCCATAAGCCTAACTAATTTCTTCAACCTTTCAACACTTGAACGAGAAATACCTGAGGCCGAAGGTTTAAACGGTAGTTGTATAATTTTTCTGACTAATGCAAAGTGACTCTTCAGTAGGACTGTGCATAGGAAACAATGTCATTCACTCTGGCATTGAGAGTGAACAACGGATTCAAAGCCATGTCTTCTCAGCCTTCCTTTTCAGCACTACAGACACGACCTAATATGCTCACTGTTTCATCTCTGCATATTTATTGTTATGTACGCTTAATATTCTTCCATGGTTTCTTCCATAGGCCCAATTTTGATTGAACAGAGGTTTTGTAGAGGTAAAACTCCCTTTGCCATGTGGATTTTGTTTGCAATACAGGGCAATCAAAACATATATCATCTTAGTTTCTAGAGTATGCAGCACCATTGGTCAACAACGTTGACCGAAGTGCATTATAACCCATGCACTAAAAATTTCAATAAGCTTGTGCTGTGCAGCAGAAATAATGCCACTTCAGTAGGTGTGTCCTGGCATTCCACTATTTCACATAATCTGAAATAAAAGTAGTGGGATGTTTTAAGTACTCTCTCTGTCCTCTGACGTTGCTGGGAAATTGTGGGTTTCTCGTGTATTGTGATAGTCTCTGTACTGAAGCAACACAAAGCAAGGTGTTGTTTGATTTAATTTCTCTATGAAGGAAAAGGATCCACTAGTGACAAGAGGGCAACACTGCTACAGGCGAGAAGACTTTCTGAGAGAAGTCTCAGCTCGGAAGACAGCTATCCAGTATCAAACTTCAAAACTACCTCTCTGACCCTCAGCACCTTCTTTAAACAGGTACCTCGTACTCTTTATTTCTGATTGCCTAAGACATTTTTCATCTATGTCGTCTCAACCGTATTGGGAAAAGCTACCCGTGATGTTCATGTGGGGACAGAGGATAGCTGCTGTCAAGGAGGCAGTAACCCATTTGCTTTGTGTGCCTCAAGGACACGGTTCACTCAGAAGCTTTTCTCAGTGTTGTGGAGTATTGGTATAAAAGTACTGATTTTTGTCTTTCTCCTTGTAGGAAGGAGACAGGCTTAGTGATGAAGATCTATTCAAATTTTTAGCTGATTTCAAAAGATCGTCTTCCTTGCAGAGAAGAATTAAGACTTTACCAGGTACGTAATTCATTTTGGATGGAAAAGGATACATGTACTTTTCTCCCCTAAATTATTCTGTAAATTCCAACCTCAAATTATAATTAACTTGGGTTTTAAGTCTATAGTATGTACTATTGTGGAACTTCTTGGGTTCTCAGTCTCTACCTGAGCACAGATGCTTTTAAGGCTTTTTTTCTGTATGAGTATGGAGATTTATCTTCAGCTTGATATTCTAAAATTATTTGTTTTCCTCCCTAATTTACAGTGTATCTGCTGGATGTCTGTTGTAGTTATTCAAACTCCTTGAAGACAGTGCTTTAAAGAAGATACCTACGATCCTTGCTGTTTCCCTGCAAGGTTTTTAAATGTGTCATATTTTACAGAGGGAGATTAAAATGTCTACACATTTCATCTTATTTCAGTATTTGGGTCAGTGTTAGCTGGCAAAGTAGAGAAGCAGAGACAGTGTTTGGCTACTGTTAAAATCTTGACCAGCTGATTTTTTCTTTTTACATAAATTACAGCTCGAGGTCTTCTGGGTTGTAGAGGAACCTTGAAAAAAATGAACTGAGTGCAAAGCTGTTTTGCCTTTTTAGCTGATTGTGAGAAAAGAAAAGTCTGAGTTCCCCAAATGGTTTCCACTCATCACAACAGAGAATTTAAACTGAAAGTCTAGTTATACTTGGGTAAATGTTATCAGTATTAACTGTTTAACTGCTCACCACAGCAAAGTTGGCTTTCCTGGTGGGTGGTGTCTGCTTTGGCAGAGATTAATCAGAGCAGAATCTGAGTGGGGAGAGAGAGAAGTGTATTAGACAGCAACCCTTTTATCTTTTATTTGTCTCCCAGACATTTTATATTTTATTTGTGTGAAAGATACTAGGACATCAGCCCAGCAAGTAGTATTCATTCTTTCTTTCCTGTTTCTTTGAAATTGTGCAGAGTGGACATAAAGAACTATATGTTGGCCTGATGTGTGGGGAAGTATGTAGGTTACTTCCTGTGTATCTTTCCACACCTGTGCTTTCATTCTCATGCAGCCTTCAAGCCGAAGATCCAGTTCTTGTTTCTGCACTGTTGCTATGTAGCCTCAAATATTGCTTTAATTTTTGATTTGTTATACATTGGCTGTTTTTTTTATTTTTGCTGAGATTTTGTGATTTTTTTTTTAAAGGAACACTTAAACTGGAGATTTCCCCAGCTCCAGAAAACCTTGGTTATTGTCTGACACCAGAATTACTACCAGTGAAGCCATTTCCAGAAAACCGTAATCGTCCTCACAAAGAGATTTTGGAATTCCCAATTAGAGAAGTGTATGTTCCCCATACCATTTATAGGTAAGGAGTAGCATACGTTTTTTAAATTCTTAAGATCCATTTTCAGAAGTAATTGGGATTCAGATTTTTTTTCAGAAATAGAAACTAAAAATATACTTTAAAAGTTGAAGACTATGTGTTAGGCTGATGATTTATCTCACTAGCCGTTACAAGATAAAATGCCTGCAGGATGTTCTGCAGTGTACTTACTAATCTAATTATGTTGTCCTTTGAAAAGTTTTCTAAGATGTCCAAAAAAACCCTAACAGCTCTCATTGACTTGCCATACATACATACCTTTCTTCTTCTGTGTTTTTTTCCCAGTAGAGGTTATTATCGTTTTTAACAGTTTGGGTATATGTTTGTACTGGGTGGTTTCTGCTGTTAATTTGAGTCATCTGAGCATCTGAGGAAGTGATGTGTTGCTCTGTGTACGTTTTCACCATGAACAAGGACTCTAGGCTACATCATCCCTCTTCTTAAATCTGTCCTATTCTGGTTGTTTCAAGGAGACCACAGTGTTCACTAGCATGCAACTGAGCACTTCCCATAGTTTCTTAGTGGTCTGGCACGTCTGAGTCTCTAAGAAGATACAAGTATTGGGAAAATGTTCTTCAACATGTTTGTGCAGCATAGTAGTGCTAGTGAGCAGTGATACTGGTAACAGCTAACTAGCAAGAATTCAAACTGTTGCATCGCAGTATTACAGATACAGAAATACTAGCTTTCATGGGGCTATTGTGTTAGTGAAGGGGTGGAAGTAAAACAGAATGCTTCTTACAACACTAGTTGACATGATTGTAAGGGACTTTTCTGATCCCTGAAACAGTATCTGCATTCTGAATGGCAGTTAGTGACAAAGATGTGATTATCAGTAAGGAATCACTGAATGAGGAAGCTGAATGAAGGGATGTAAAGCTTACTTGCTTCTTGCAGCAGAGATGAGCAAAGAGCCAGCTCTCCCACCCACTCTCCTGACCCCACCCAGGGCAAGAGAAGGGAAAGACAAGGCTTGTGATTCAGTACAACTCCAAACTGCAGGGTTACAGACTAATTTATCCTGGGGAGATGATCCACACCTCATGAGAAACTGAAGAGCCAGTGGGACTTTTGGTGACACCTGAATTTGGGTGTTAGCTTAAAAGGAAAGGAAAAAGAGAAAGTGGCATCTTATTTTACGACAACAACTTGCAATATGGTGTGAGCAGGGAAAGGAGTAAGTAAGCCAGTCTGGATAGAGCATCGAGGAGTTATTCCTGGGCTGTGCCGTGGATCTGTGACTTTCAGACTCCTGAGGGCAGTTTCGTTGTGCCCTTGGCACCAGAATGCTAAAATGCAGAGAGTTATGGTACTTCTGTGTTCTCTGTGTATCAAAGATAAGTGTATTTTTTTTTCAGTTTTTAGGATTTTTATACAGACATTTCTATGCAGGAAGTAGTTTTTATACAATTGAAAGTGCAATCGTAAATGAACTTGAGTAATGCCTTTTATTAAAATGAAAAAATAAGAATGCACTATAACTTTCCTGTGGACTGTCTGGCCCCGGTGAGGAGTAGCATGTGTCAAGTCCAGTGTGCAGCCTAGTAGTGTCTAAAGGTCTGCTTTTGAGAACGAAAAGCATTAGCAATGGCTGTGTTGCTGAGCTAGAAAGAGAGTTGTTTCTGCACAGAATATTGTCTCTTTAGTTCTCCCCAAGGTAAGCTTCTGCAGCCAGACATCATGAACATCAAAGCCACCCTGCTGAAAATTAATTCATGCATCTACTGAAGAAAGTTTGGGTGTCTCCACACTGTCCTTCAGTTGCTAGGGTGTCTGTATTGAATACATACACCCACATGAGAAGAAATGTTTGCTATAGCTCAACAGTTACACCCTTTGTGCAAGAGTTCACACGCAGCGTGCTTGATCTCTTCAGGCTTTCTGGGCCCTGTTTTGATTTTCACCGTAGGTAGAAGTCATGGTAACAAAACAAATTAGGATCTGTCCAGCCTAACTTGTAACTATGAAGAGACTATCGATAAAGAATATTTGCCTTCATTAATTGTTACCTTAATTAGTGAATCAATGGTGATGACACAACTGATATGCCATAAGTTCACAGTGTGCTGTGAACTGGAAACTCAAATCAGTTAGTACCCAAATTAAACCCTAAAGACAGTCAGTTAGATACACTGGGGAAATGGTGACGAAAATGCAGAAATACTGGGTCATGTTCTGACTGCCTTGTGACAACTGGGGAGTTGCCAACTGAAATTGTTAATGAAGTCCAGCAATGGTTCCCAAGAAAGTCAGAGGAAGCAGCTTTGCAAACATTATGAAACAGGGAAGTCTGGAACTTGGTGGTGTCCAGAAAGTAACACCTGTGTTTGTGCAGTGCCATTGAAAGCTCCTCCTTTTCACACAAGCCAGAATCACCTAGCCACATCTGAGTTGCTTTTGCCATACAGTCGTGCCAGCGCTCTGGTGAGCAGAAGCATAGTTAGCAAATGTAGGCCAATGTATTTGCTTAACTTCACTGTCATGCGTTTTTCCTTGCTCAGTTCTCTGCATGGTGAATGATGTTTTGAGCCTGAGATTAACATATGCAAACTCTGAATTTGAATAGAGCCAGGTATTAAGAGTTTCATGTTATTTTATGGCCTTTCCTCTAATTTGAAAAGTAGAACCATCCTGGGTTAATTAAGCAATGTGGTAGCATTTAATCATAACTGAGTGTCATGGCCTGCTAGTGTTTTACAGGTGATCTGCTGTTTCTTGATTTTTGGTTGTAAGTCTGCAAACCACTTATTTTTTTACCAGTGCTATAGATGTAGATAATGAAGGAATGAAAAACAGATAAAATGGTTACCTGTTCTCTGTTAATGTTACCATGAATATAGGAGAGGCTTACATGTAGAAAGATACTTGAATAATCAATAAATAAAAACTTACAAAAATACAGGCTAGTAAGCTCTTACTGGCATAATAATACCTCTACACAAGCTCTGCTCATGAAACATCTAACTTCAGTTTTTCTTCTGAAAGTTTAAAAGAAATGCAAAGATTTTGTTTACTGGTTTGTTTTTGTTTTGGGTTTTTTTGCCAGTGTCAGGAGGGAAAAAAAAGAAAGGAAAAAAGGAAAAAAGTCTTTTTTTTTTGAAAATAATAGCTTTTACCTTTGTGATAGGAGAAGCAGAGTCTTCTGTTATAGTCTATGAACCTAGCTCTTGCTAGTTTTCACACTGGTGTGATGCCATTATTTTAAATGATGCTATTTCTGATTTATGCCAGAGAGATCGGCCGGCCCACTTTCTTTGTGCACTGTGAAATTGAGCACTTCTTTTTGTTGTGTACCTACATTTCTTTAATAAAAATTGTTCCCTGAAAATGTCAAAACACTCCAAGATTTATTTCTTTCAATACCCTCCTATTCTTAATAGGAAAAGGCATATAATTTAAAGTTTGTTTATCATTTTATTTTCTCGTGAAATGTAAATGAAAATGATGCTGCTTACTGCCACTGTGAAATGTTGGTGCTGAGGAAGAGGGATTTTTTCCCATTGCTTCAGCAGTAATTCAGCTTAACCAGGCACTGGAAGTCCTGTCTTTGATAGGGGAAGTTCCTAACGCTCAGGGGGTTTTCAGAGGTAGAGGGGTAAAAAAAACCTTTCCTTTGCTGTTTTGTTTCATTTAATTGCAAACCGCTGCACTGCACTCAGGCTTGCTATAGTCTGCAGTGTGCACTGGAGGCCTTCTGCTTTGATGGTCATCATGCTACCCCATCCTTGACTAGTTTTGAGTGGGGACAGACTATTGGCATTCAGTGGTCTGTTATTCCCATCACTACTGTCACGTTTTCTGCTCCTTTCTGCCTCTCTGTCCATGGGATCTGGAGAGAGCATGGTAGCCCTGTACATCTTCTACAAGGCCATTGCTCTAGTTTTGTGCCAGTCGGAGGTGGCAGCGCTTCTAACTGCTTTTTCAGAGTAAACAAAGTGGAGATTAGTATGGCACTGTTGTGCACAGGTGAAGGAAGCAGCTTAAGCCAGCAACTGCATTTTCAGAGATTTGAGTGTGTCGTGATTGATTCTGCTCCTCAGTACATACGATTTCATCCCAGTGCAAATAGCTACCTGCTCTTTTCCAAGCTCCATAATCTTTCCTGGGCATCTAATGTACTGTCTCAGCAGTAAGAAGTTTTGTGGAAGGTTTCCTAATTTTTCTTGGCTTTTTACTGAGATAAAACTAACTTTGTCAAATACTGCATAACAAGCAGAAACAATGAACCCCAAAACTTCACAAACAGGATTCTGGGAGTGCATGCCCCTCTCCCATAGGCAGCTTGTTTGTCACAGTGCTTTCAGATGTAGTATCACACCTGGCTCTTTATGACAAACCTCATTAATTATGTAATACAGGCAGAGAGGAAAACATGCCACCATGTCATGGTGATCTCTGCATAGTCACTGAGCAGGGCCTCTGATTAATGGATTTGTCTAAACTTCCAGATGAAAGCTAAGCCTTTAAAGAAATGTATAATTATTCTTTAAAAAAATAATCTAAATGCAAGTGGTTTAGTTAGAGGCTGTTTCTGGGTTCCTCAAAATGTTTTGGTTGATTGTAATTTGACATCATAAATTAGATTCTTGAAAACTGTATTTTCAGCAGACTTTTAAGCAAGTATAATTCAAAATGCAACAACAGCATTTAAAAAAAATCTTTAACAAATTGGTATCTTGAAATAGCTGCTAGCTCTCTGTATGAAAATCATTAGTATAATATTTGCTTTCACATTCTGCTAAGCACTGTTGTACTATTTAAAATCTATCATATGCTGATAAATACTGTGTTTTGCCTTCAAACAAATCTGATATTGTATTTTGGATGCCACTGTTCTTCAGATTCAGTATTAGTTTGTTCTTTGGTCTACTGTGTGGAAACAAAAAAGCACTATCAATCAGCAGGAAAATATTGTTAAGAAAAGCTTTTAAAACAACAGAAGGTAAGTGCAAATCATTTATAATGTATACCAAGTAAGCTAG